TTTTTTAAAGATTCACTTTCAGATGCCGTTCAACTTTTTATCCTGACCAGATGCATCTTTGTTTCTCTGAGCAATGACTTTCTTGGAAAAAAATACTTGCTTCTTATCACATGACAACATGATGTCCCTGAAAATCGATCTTCATTTAGCCGTAACGTGACAACATATTTCTCATGCCATTGGCATTCGAGGCTCCGTGTGGTCGTTTTGTTTGCCGGGATCCAATCACGTGGCCGGTCTTCACCAAAGCGAGACTCTCGTCAACGGTCTTCGCCCGTTAACATGACGGGGTGTCCGCAGTCTCACTGCGGATGGCGCAAAAATCATTCATCTTTGACAACACCTCTTACACTTGTCGGAACGGCGCAATGGGCTTTTTTACCGTCTTTTATGATCTCGCCCGTTAAAATTTACTGTCTAGCTGTTAAAAAAATAAAAAATAAATAACTGCCTTGCCCGTTAACGGCGCACTGGCAGATCGGCTCTTTTAGGATGAGAAATTTCCCTCGTCAGTTAGCCTTTCAATTTGACTGTCACTCTTCAGTGCACACTCTATGACCACAAAAATACTTCCAGCTCTCCGAAGTGCCGCCGCCATGACCAAGATTGTTTTGTAATGTGCAGTAGCCCAAGTGTTCATCCAAAACAAGACAAGCCCGATTTCTTGGACGTCTCTGAAAAATTATCCTGAGCGATAATCCTCCTGACTCTGGTTTCCTGCCACATTTCAAAAACACGTATGGTCGCTTCATTGAACACTCGAAATTGTCCCGAGGCGTGAGTGTGAGTTTCGGATGATTGTTCGTCTCCGTGTGCCCTGCGATTGGCTGGCAACCGGTTCAGGGTGTCCCCCGCCTATTGCCCGAAGACAGCTGGGATAGGCTCCGGCACGCCCCACGACGCTTGTGAGGATAAAGCGGATCGGAAGATGGAGGGATGGATGGATGGATTATCCTCCCTTGTGGGGACGTGTTGAGTGATTTTCGCTCGCAAAGCAAAACCCGCTGCAGCTGTCTTACGAGTCAGTCACCGCGATAAATAAGGACAAGATTTTGAAGCCGCCATGTCGGTCGCCACCATTTAGCCTCGTTTCTTCCATTTCGGCTTCTTTGTATTTTCCGATGGCCTGCCTCTCCCAGGTCAGTCTTGGTCAATATGGACATTCGATTCAGAGACGACCACGTTCTTTGGACGCGAACTGTTTTTGGGCAAAGACACCATCCCGTGCGCGGTGTACTTCTTTGGCACGACACGAGAAGTCGACACAGATTGTACGCTCGGCATCTGTGGCTTCTCTTTGCATTTTCAAAGTCAGTTTCGCCTTCCCCCTCTCAGAGGCGAGAAAGATGTTCTGTTGCCTCGCCAGATCGGTCAAATTTATCTTGCGTGGCTTCTGGTTGAGGGCCTTCTCTCCGACGCGCTCTCAAAACGATCAGCTTGTCGGAATCTCCCGCCGGGAGGCGTGAAACGGGCGTCACCTGGCCCTAACCTTTCCAAATTCGCACCCATCAATCCGCCGGGCGACTGAGTGCTCGGTCCAGATGCCTGCAACCTCCCAGGGATCGTTTTATTACCCCTCTTTAAGATGTTATCTTGAAGAGCAAGTCATTACCGCCTGGACTTGGGAATGGACATGACCTCGCACAGACCTTTTTACCTCTACCTCATTTCGGACATCTTTGCAGATGCCTCGAGACTCATTCGGGCGGACGAGGTCTTTTCACCCAGTCGAGTCTTCTCATCTTCTTGGCACCAACCTGCCCTCGCCTTCAACCTGATCCGGGCAGCTCCGGGCCTGTAAAAGACAAACATGAGAGCGTGTAAAGTAGGATGTGGGCGAGGGAAGGCGGCGGGGGGGGATGGGTGTGTTGCTCTTGATGAACTCTCAGATATCATCACCTCCGCGTGTACTTTATCTCCGTTCGCTTAGCCAGCCGATGATTGAATGAGTCGCTCGAAGCTTCCACAGTAGCCCCCGGGGGGGTTGTGGGGTTTTCTGGGGTCTTCTTTCCGCTGAGTTTTACGATCGGCACGGCCGACTCGGAAGCCAAATGCATCTGCCAGAAGCGCTGAGGCTGTTTCGTGTTCCGACCTGGTCCTGCGTTTCCCAACCTTTTATTAGGCCAAGACGCAGACGCGGCAAACCTCGGTTCACAAACGACACCGTTGACGTTCAAATCGTAACGCCGTCGACTGAAATGCGATGGTCGTGGAAGAGCGTTGATTTCTTCTGCGTGTTACTATTCCGCAGCTGCCTATTTGACAGAAGGAAAAATGTCACGGCACACCATCAAACAAAAACGGAGAAGTGGCAGCAAAACAGACCAAAAATCTATATGTCACGGGGTGCATTCTTGGTGAGCTTTAACCAAATGCAAATGTGTAGAAATGCACGATTTCAACATTTCCTAAGCGGTAGCTGTCCGACCTTCTCCGTGGGCACTTGAGAGTGCTGTCGCCCAAATAGAGAATTTTTTTAACTCTGAGAGTCACCAAAAGACCAACATATTTGGATCTCCTCAACCTCGAAGACCTGATTAGCACCCGACGAGAGATCGCCATCTCCGTCCTTCCAACCTTTTAACTCCAAGCGTTTCAAGTCCTGGTTTCCACACTCAGCAGTTGTGAAAAGCGACATGAGTTGCTTCCTTGCCGGGGGCTCGACGCCCCCCCCCCCACCACCCCCCAACCT